CTCTACTCTCTCTCTCTCTCTCTCTCTCTCTCTCTCTCTCTCTCTCTCTCTCTCTCTCTCTCTCTCTCTCTCTCTCTCTCTCTCTCTCTATGCCTCGGTGTTCGTTGGGGAGAGTGTAAAGGGCGAGCCTGAATGGTCACGCGAGAATCGATCGTACGAGAAATGGAAAGAGATATCGGCTTGATTTTGACACTCGCAAGAAAATTGGGAGACCGAAAATTTTTGTTCGAACATTATTAAAAGGGAAAGTGGATTATTTGGATTTATCTTATCATTTGTGTAATAATAAATTTGATAAGAAGAGGTATTATGGTAAAATATATGATATTGTATTTTAAGTCGAATTTGATTAAAAATGTGAAATATTTATTGCAAATTATGTATTTAGTGATATTTTTTTTTTTAACAAGTTAAGTAGATGCCCGATATCATAGCCGCGACTTTGAAACGTATAGACGATTCGTATCAGGTTTTACTGGCGATAAATTTAGGATCCTCGGGAGCTTATGAGGTCGATTCAAAGAAAATCCCTCTATTCCGCGATAGGCATTAACTTTAAATGGGAGGAAACGGCTCGAACGTTTCTTCTTTACCATGGTTAAATGTAGATCGTATTTTATGCGTAGTTACGATCGTATTTTTGCCTCTTGATAATCGTGTTTATTGAAGATTTTGTAGCTCACTCAACTTGCAAACAGTAACAAGTTTGAAGCTGATGGATCTTAAAAATATGCTCCGTATTCTAAATTTCTCTTTGTATATATTTCACAAATTTTATAAAACGTCTAAATTCTAACTTTCTCTTATATAAACCCAACAATATTTCGATGTTTATTTACTTTTAATAAGCTAATATAAAAGCATATAATTTTAAACTGAATCTCCGCCAAATTATTTCCCTCCTTGACTACTCACGTTCCAAAAGCCACATACTTAAAACTGACCTACAACATGCGCCCGTAACACTTAAAAGCCAACTCGCAAGCCACTCTGCAATAAAACTTTCACAACTTTCGACCCACGTTTCTCCCAGCTCACTCGTTGATTAACTATTCCACGCGGTAGCGAGTAAGAAACGTGAGATCAAAGAACAGTAGAGGGCGGTAGTGGTAAGAGTCCAGAGAAGAGAGTAGCTTAGCCGACGCTGTTACACGAAAATTGCATCGTCGGTCGAAAGAAAGGGGGCGATGAAGGCGGGAAGGGAACCGATTAGAGAAATTAACGCCTGTTCGTTATCTGCGCGAAACACTAGCTCCCTCTAGCGGTGATACAGTATACTGACGGAATTGCGTTTTTGCATTTGGTTCGGCTCGACAAATCCCTGAATCCAAAGCCTCGGCGGTCAAGGTCCCTTTTATCCTGGAATTACGCTTTATCTTTTCGAAAGCAGATGGAATAAAGGGAATTTAGCGTGAAAGAAAGGAAGCAAAGTTAGAGATGGATCATATTGTTCTCTCGACGTGTATTGTCGGTGTAAAGTGTACAGATATTCTACTGATAATTCCGAAATATTGAGAATTACTAAAATTTAAAAGATATTATTAAAGGATGGAATGAAAGCTGGAAAATGATTAAGAAAGTGATGTATCATGGAAGAATAAGAAAATAAAGTATTTTTTATGTAATGACGTGTCTGAGAAATGTCAGTTATTTCTACTTACAAGACTTTGGCATAATTTTTTGTATAAATAAAAAAAATATATATGGAATTATGATGTAGGCAAAATTATTATTGGAATATTGGATTATAATAATTTAGAGAATATAGCTTATAAGTTAACTATAACGTGCCTGATCATTAACCGATGTTTCTACTTCGAACGAATTGTCTGAACATTGCCACGCTTATCCACTTTCCTACGGTTTGGCCAAGTCTTTAACTCCGTTAACATTCAAATTTATCTTCACTAGATTTTCTTTTCTATAATAAATCTTAAATTTTCTTTCTATAATAAACTCGACCATGGGACGATAAAAATAGCAGTAGAAAACAATTTTTGCCAGAACACATGCCTTAAATGTTATTCAGGATGGTCCAGTTATGTGAATCCATCCTGTGTATAAAACATTCTTGAGTTCATCTTTACTGAACTGTCCCTCGAAGCCGGCGTCTGCATTCTTCTTCCTCTTCTTCTGTCCGCCCCATGTCGCTTTCTCTCGTGTGTCTGAAAAGCGGAAGGAAGAAAAGAGGAGAAGATTGCAAAGCCGGATCGGCCTCGAGGAGACCTCGCCAGCTGTTATTTCTGCATTCCGGTAAATCGAGTCGGGAATCCAATCTGCCTGTTTGCTACTGCATCCAAACTACCCTCTTCCATACCCACGCCTTCCTTTTTCCTCCCTTTTTCTCTGTCTCTATTCTCGTTTCCCTTGTTCCACGCGTTCCTCCTAGGTCTTCGAGACGGATTTTCCTAGCTGGACGGAGGACCTTACTTGGAAAATTCCTGTAAAGTGATTTTTTTCTTAAATGAATTTTGTATCTTCAGTTCACTTATCTCTTTGAAACGAAATTACTCTGAATATTGATTTTAAAAACCGTATTTTGCAAAAATCGTTTAAATTGATAAAACGAATCGTTTCGTAAATAATTCTTATGCGGCAATTTAATGATTTCCGCAGACGAACAACAAAAGAGAGAAAAAGAGAGAGAGACGCAGAATCGAATAAAACAGACCCGGTTTTTCCACCTTTAAATATTGCTCTCGTTATTCTGAACATATTCGAGGTATTTGTTGTTGATGCCACTATAACTCGAATCGACTATTAATAATCACGAACGAATTTTTGCACCCACTTCTTTCCATCGAATTGTGAAAAGGAAATCGAAGCGTTTTATGGAAGAGGAGGAAATGAATCGTTCCATGCCCGCCGCCATTTTTCCTCCCGTCGAACTAGAATGTTTTGATTTCTACATGGATTCCTAAAGTTATCGTTACGACGGTGCATAAACTGGCGAGAAAAAATGCAATAGGAGCATACCTTTTGAAGAAAAATGATCTTGCAACAAGATTTTAATATATTCGTTCAAAGAATGTTTCTCGAATTTTTTGATATCATATTCTCATTAATTGTTATTCATTCTTAAAAATAATATATAATAGACGTTTTACGTGTATTGTACATTATGGGAGACAATGTGTATTAATTAAGACAAACTGAATCTCTAAAAATAATTAAAAATAGCAATTTTAATTCTAGAAAAACCAAGAGTCAAGCCACTTACTTGCAGTGCGTAGAAAGAAAAATATCTTAATGCAGGTTTTCCTGAAATTAAGAGTGACTATTAAAATAATTTTTTAGAAATTTTAAAAATTAGAAAAGTAAAATTTTTTTCAAATTTTCCAAAAAGAATAAATGGGAAAATTTCTAAGAATCTCCTTCTAAAGTTAAGCGTTGAATAAAGAAATTTTAAAAAGGATCTGGACGATTTTATTTTGAAATATTGGTAAAAAAAGAGGTATTACATTAGTATCAATGGATTAGAAGGAACGATGGACGGATCGATGGTAAACATTTCATTAAAACCCGCGGAAAGAAAGCGGAAGCACAAGGTGGGCGTGGGTGAACGGATAATCCTTCGATAATCCGGGAATCATTCTCGGGAATGAATCGCTCTATCGATCTGAGGGAATATAATTGAAAAAGTTGTTCCTTTGCTCTCGTCGATCGAGTTGCCTGTCGTTCTCAGCCGACTTCACCTTTCCCTGTCTCGAATCAAAGGGTGAATCAAGGTGCTAGAACAGGATGAGTTGGTTGGGGGAGTGAAGGGGGACGTGTTTCATCCTTCAACCCATTTCAAATTTCCGGCGATTTTGATAATGAAAGTTCACTGTCTCCCTCATCTCGTCGAGTTTCTCTTTTAATATTGCAATTTGCAACTTGGTATTATCTTTTAAAAGCGTATAAAGATGATATTGAAAAAATATTGAAAATTTTAACGAATATTTAAAAATTTCTCATTATTGATAATTAATGAGAAATTAGTCTTAATTGAGAGTTAATTAATGAATATACATATATAATACTTCGATTTCTAATTAAATTTGAAATATAACTTTTCTATGATATTTATCTTGAAATAAAATGATAAAAAAATAACAAAAGTTCATTGAAACGCGATATTCTTTTCATAAATTGAACTGACTTTGATAAGTTATTACATTTTTTTTCTTTTGGTATGTATATGTGTATGTGTGTTTACGTTATGAATTTCGACTTCCACTATTCACACTGCCCACAGGGAAATCCGAATCTCATCTTCAAAGTCGAACAACTTATTTGGAGTTTCGCTATCGCGAATTTCAATTCACCTTTCCTACAATAAAATTCGCCACACGTACGGATTTTAACACACTGAACACACACATAGAAGAAATGCAATTCGAATTCGTAATTCGAGGTTAGGCAACATAGTTGCATACGAGCACATACACAGAAGAGAGAAACTCATGTGACACACGTAACGCACGTAGAAACGGTGGTTGACGATCGACGAGAAATGAGGACGAAAACGACGCCACGGTTGCTCTTGATGCTAACGAATAAGGTCAGTTCACAGTTCACTGCAACTCAATTTCCAACGATAGTTACGTAACGAGCAGCGTCGATCTCGTGAGGACGCCCCTTCTTTTCCAGTTATTTCGCAGTGCACGGTATCTGCAACCAGAGTTAGTCTATTTTTGTACAGTCGCGTGCAAATCACCGAAACACAGAGGTCGCATGCGTACTTTTTCACGCGCAAGAGACAGTAATTTGTCTTTCGCCAGTGACACGTGGAATCAAACAGGCGATGATCGTAATTGAAATTGCATCCTTGGAGTTTTTCATCTTATTTTCTTTCATTCTTTTTCCTTTGTCCAAAGAATGATGAATCGATGGTAAATTGATAGAGTTTAAAAGAAAATTTTGATACAGAATAATTGTTTTTTATTTTATATTGATATTTCTTTTTTAATTGTTTTAACTACGATAATTAAAAAGAAAACAAAATAATAAAAGATCAAATGCATAGAGAAAAAAATAATCAAATGCATAATGAAAACGAAATATGTGATCGACAAACGTCGACGATTTTTAACTCGATGTAGATAGATCCGTTAACAACAGATCACGATCAAAGATCATCCTGACAAATATACATATCAATCGTCGATGCACTAATGGAACACACTCGTACAATGTCATGCACATGGGAATTCTATTTGCCGGCCCATGAATTCAACTGGATGACGCGGAAAAGAAAATATTACTCCGCACATAAATTACTATCTCTGTCAGTATGACAACGACTTCGCGTGTGATTGGATGGTTTTCGCTACTGCCGACCATGTGACTCCTGCACGGAAATACTATTGCACATGCAATAAGAGATGTCCAATAAATCAAAAGAATGCAACAAAACATGAAAAAAAGCTTTTAAAAAGAGAAAGAGAAATATACGAATATACAGTGAAATATTAATAATCAAAATGTGATTCTCTATTTGTCAAATTATTCGATGATAATGCGTGAATTTAGCTGAAAGCACAAAATGAGGTGTGTCTTGATAAGTTAAGATGTTGTTAGATACATTATACTGCAAATAGATAGAGAAAGATAATTATTTCAATCATGATAATTCTTGATCGGGAATAACGATTTTATTGCCAGACTTATTATAACATTTTAAATTGCTCTTATTATCTGAAAGATGTAATAAATATCATCTAAAGCATCTTAAATATCTCGTTTTTTATTATAGAAAAAAATTATAGGAAAAAATAATATTTAGTTGAAAGAAGCAAAAATTATAATAATTAAAATATCTTATATCTGCACTTTTAACCTCTTTTATTAAAATTTATTTCCTCCATTCAATCTCAAGCTAATATTTTTGTCCATATATAAATTGAATACATATACATATGTATAGATCGTTATGAAAGAGTATAAGTGTCCTGTTTCTTTTACAATCCCATTAATATCGAGTACATAAATATCGGTTGAAATTAATATCGAGTACAATAATATCGCTTGAAATTATATTTGTAGAGTGTTATCATAAATATGGCATGTTGGTATTTTAATGATCGTTGCAAACTCAAATGACAATCGTTTAACTAGAATTATGATTGCTTGTATTAAGAATTTGCTATATATAAACTAATGATATGTAAAAAATCATATATAGATTAATCGAATATACAATCGATTTATAGAGAAAATCATGTATCATTATATACGCGATAGAATCTTTGTAATAAAAATCATATATTTTATAGTTTATGGCTCCTTTCCATTCTAATACACATAATATATACATAAATAGAAGTATGATTTATAGTTACATTATAACCTTATGAAATCATTATACTTTCACGCAATTTTATTTTTATAGCAAAGAAAAAAATCACTTTTTCTTACTTACTAATAAATAATTAAAGGTTAGGTTATGTTCTCATGAATAATCTTAAAAATACAGAGAATAATTTGAACAAAATATTGCGTTCAGACTTTTTCTGTCTATTCGCTTTCGCAATACAAAGACATACTCCACAAAGAAATTTTTACCTTGTCTGCTCGTCAATTATCGATTATACGCATTAAATACGGAAACAAAGACGCGGTCTTTGTCATTCGGATTGCCATCTTGAAAAGTTACTAAGAGAGGTCGCCTCATGGATATCTAGTGTCCCATGTAATTCGAAAGCGATTGTTTAAATTTATGAAGCCATTAGGACATCACGGTACATTCGGCCAAAGCCTTGTTCCTGATTCCTCGTGCAATAAAAGAGTCGCGTTACGGCGGTATTTTGTCTGAAGTGGTGGCCACCTACATTAAGAATATAACAAGTTGATTGCGTGCACTTTTGTTGTATGGACCGTAAAATATATACACATGCTTCTGTGTGTATACATGCGCTTGTATTTATAAAGAAAGCTGGTACTACAACTTTCTTATACGCGATGTAATATCGTGGTGGTCGAGCATTGTAGAAATTCTCTCGAGTGTCATTCTTGATGCCATTCTTTGCAAGATCAAATAATGTTCGCAACGAGATCACGCGGTTTGCGAGAAAATAGATTTTATATAGAATGTGGAAACGTTTTAACCTCTAAAAACAAAATGTTTTCACTTTGTTGTATATTAAATAATCCGTACATTCATATGAATATAATTTTTTCAAAAGTATCATTCATAGACATGAAAATCTGAAATTATTCTGAAACAGAAATGACTCTCTTTGACATTATTGACATATTCCTGGTTAATGGTTAAAGGGCAAACTCTGTTTTCTTTTCAGCAGTGAGCTCGATGCGGCCGATAGACAGCACGAAATGCGTGGTAGTCCAAGACGTGAAGGCTGTCACTCATGAGAACGCGCACGTTCACGACCCGATATCAACGCAAATACCCACCGAAGGTAAATATCAGGCGGTATCAATTTGCATCCACTATGCATGATGTAAATACTCCGATGTACGACGTCTCGCGGTAATTGCTTTTGGGAGACGTCTGCCGCGTTCGAATGGCTTCCCCTGTCCTGATATCGGCCGTCTCATATATAACTATACAATGGCCGCATCGAGAATAATATCGGTTCCGATGTGTACCTACATTCATCGAGTTACACTATTGGTATGCATTTGTCGCAAGACTATGAGCTACTAAATAGCGCGACAAACGTTTAAACGGAGTCAAAATTAACGGAGAATTTAACACAATACGTACAACGTGAATATTATTACAAAAATACTATTGAAATCGAAAAGAATACTAACAGAATAGAACTTTAAAAACCGGTTACAGTTTTTAACCAATAAAATATTTTAAATTAACAATGCTTTTTTTTGGGAACAACATCTCTTGATATTTCTAAAAAATACTTAGAATTACGTTATTACATACACGAGAAATAATCAAATTTCTCTTCTACCATGCAGAGTCGTTACCGACAAGCACCGCGGAGCACTCGAGTGCGTCGGACAGCGCCGGAGACCAACAGAGCGATCCTCAGATTCAGCAATCAGCCCAGCAATGGCCGGCGGTGCTCGAGCTCCAGGCGTACAACGTGGCTCACTCGGCCATGATCCCGCCTTACCATTTCTGGAACACTGAGTTCCGGAACAAGCAGCCCGCCTTCATCCGACTGAATCTTACTCTGCCCTGGGGCGCGAACTTTGCCGTCTACGGGAGGCGAAATGTCGCGCCAAGTGTCACGCAGTATGATTTTGTGGAATTTGTGAAAGGTGGTAGAGTGGATCACAGGTTGAAAAGAGATACCAGTTCGGAGGCAGTCAGTTTCATGAAAACGGCGGCGACAGAGGCTCGATCTGGTGACAGTCGCTCGTACCAACATGTGTTGATCAAGAGAACGATCGTGGAACCGATGATGGTGAACGTTAGCTTGCTTCAGTATCTGGATACTGGACGTTGGTTCCTTTCGGTATATAACGATGAGTTGCAGCCATACAAGGTCACCCTGGTCGTGACCGAAGCCGAGGGTGTATCGACAACCTGCCCGAACGACTGTTCTGGAAGAGGATCCTGTTATCTTGGAAAATGCGACTGTATCGACGGGTATCAGGTGCGTAGATATTCTCAGGTTTCTTGGAAGGTTTAAGCTTGCAAGACTGAGACGTTGAGCAGTTTTGAAGATCGATTTTAATTAGGAATATATTGCGTTACAATATTAATCGTAGATTCGATCTTTTCTACGAATTTTAAACAATGTACTCCATTTGATATATCTCTGTACAATACTCGATGTGCAAAATTTATGTTGAACCGTTCATCTATACGATATATATACTTCTCTTGTTAGTCCTCGACTGATGAAGTGAAATATCTGTTACGTAACGGGCAAGGTAAGGTCATTTTAATCAGGATCAAGTGGACAGCTAGAATATATACGCTTCAACTAGATAAACATATGGCCATATTCACATTAATATTACGTTAATTGATTACGAAACTCTAAGATTAATATGATTAAATTATTGCGATTATATATATATATAATGTTTCAAAAGAATAAATGTGAAAGTCATTAACTTATTAATTATCTTAACAAGCAACAATAGAAGATTTTAATATTGTTCTAAATTACACAAATTTCTATCGTTCTGAAGATAAATTCACAAAGTCATAAAAAATCAAAATCAAAAGAATGGATGCAATCTAACCTCAAAAAAATAATTTAAGAACGCCGTAATATCGTAATACCAACTGACAATAATTTTAAAGAATAACATTTGTTCAAACCAGAATCTCTAAAATCCGGTGCCACAAATCTTGCACACAATTGTATTATTGAATCTGAAACGATTCAATTCCGTCCATCAGTACTATTCTCGCGTAACGATCTCGAAAGAATTACTTGCACATTGATCGAAATGATTAGATCGCGAAATGGTGTCGCTAACGTCGCTCGTCGATCATATTTATGAAGGAGGAGAGAGAAAGAGAGAGAGAGAGAGAATAAAAGATAATAGAGGAACCGATAAAAATTTTCAGGGAGCCGATTGCAGTAAAAGCGTGTGCCCGGTACTGTGCTCGTCTCACGGACAATATGGTGGCGGTATGTGCCATTGCGAAGACGGCTGGAAAGGTGCCGAATGTGATATACCATTAGGAGACTGCCAAGTTCCTGATTGCAATCAACACGGACAGTGTGTTAGAGGGTCGTGTGTATGTAATCCTGGATGGAAAGGCGGTTTCTGCGACGAACGTAAGTTAAAAACATGTCTGGTTATTACACATTGTGGATACGTTTAACGAGTAATTTCGTTGCGCGAGACGGAAAGTTAAAGTTACTATTTTCATGTAATAAAAAGAATAAAATATGAATTCAGAGAATGGAGTGGAACATTTAAAGTGATTATATCATAGAAAGAAGTTTAAATGCAAGATAAAAAAAAAAAAAATATTCTAATTTCATAATGGAATTGCTCAATAAAAATGCTAACGACTTTAGCTGCGTAGAAGAGGGTAAAGATAAACGAAGTAAGGAGAACGGGGAAGTTTAGTTAGGCGAATGATCCAAGTCTGCGTTCGACGTCTAGCAACGACCCCTTAAGACCAATTGTTTAACCGGCTTCTCGCTTACCCTTGAGTTAAGAACGTTCCTAGTGATAAAACCGTCCAGAACGAAAATTGCTTTACTAAAACGTTAGGTTATCCGGGATATATGCGTTCGTGATTAAAAAGATTGGTATTCTACCTAATTAATTAATGAAAATTCGAATCGTTTTATATATCTTATGAATCTTTCTAATTAATTTTATTGATTTTTCTTATCTAATAACGATTAATCATTGGAAGAGTTAAGCAACGTATTCGATAATTCATATTTTCCATTACTTTTTATTTCTCAAGAGGATAAGAACAATTTAAAAAGAGTAGATTTTTACTTATTCTCGTGACACACTGTACGTAGAAATAATAAAGGGAAAGAGGAGGAACAGGAACGGGGCAGAAAAAAAATGAATGTCACGGGACACGGAATTTAAATGTGCCCTTAAAATGTCTCGGATAGATCCAACTTTTGAGTTCATTAAGGATAACATTGTACTTAACTGCGTGTGCGCGCATGCGCAATGTGTCACGCCATATTTTAACATTAAAAATGAGCAGTGGAAACGCGTACAGCTCGCGGATGAACGTTTACCTCCTAACGTCTATTTCTGCGTCGGATGTTGTTTCTTCATATTTGTCACGCCGCCATTAATTTCACCATAATTCAACCGTACGTCCTGCCCTTTACTATACCAGACAGATTCAAGGTATTAGTAATGCACGTTCCCTCGTACGCCAGCCGAGCGTATACCGCACGTCTCTGTGTATAACCTATAATTAATGCACGTTCCCTCGTTGAATTTACATATGGGTCAACCATCGCTGCAATTCAAGTGGACGATTAGTTTCGTACTATTTAATGGTTGTTTTAATCCTTTCGTGGAGCATCTTGGCATTATTTTTGATTTAGTATCATCGTACTTTGAAAGGATCGGTGTGAAAGTGCTTTTTTTGTCGTTTTTTTTTTTTCCGTGTGTTATAGTTACAATTGAAATTAAAAATACAGTTATAATTGTAATTAAGTTTAACGATTTTTAAATTGCACGTCTCTTAAAATTCTATTCTAATCTCTCTGACGATTCTACGTTTAAAAAGAAGAAATAAAATTTGAGTTAAACGCCTCACAAGTGTTCTTTGCCAGACCTATTCCGCAGAAACATGGACGGAAAAATGACGTTGTTGAAACGAATGGGGAAATTATTCGCGGGAAAAGGGACGCTTTGTCTCTGACATTCTCACGATTTCGTCGTAACGCCTTTTTCCCTATCGTTCTTCGACAAACGATGGGGGATATTCGTTTCGCATTAAAGTCTACCATTGATATCACGATCGAGGATGCATTTGTTTGACGATTAGGTTAGGCTAGAATTCGAATCTAATTTGTTACGTGAAAACATAATGTGATATTTGTGAAATTAAGAATTATATTTGCAACTAAGCGTTTTTTTTATGTACTTCATAAATCATACATCTATATGAACTTTTTCACTTTATACTTCATACGAGTTGTCAAATATTGTCAAAAGATGGCGTATAACCGGTCCCGGTGGTGTATAAGGTGAATGGTAACGTACGACACATTGCCGGGACGCTTTGGAATTAAGTTTCATAATTTCCCCGGGGCAGCTGGAATCCACGGGAATAATGCAATTGTTCCGATGCCATAATTTAAAAAGTTAGCTCATTCGTCGGTGCCCAGGGCACAATCACCGATGCCCATCCCCTTTAGCGGCTTTCTCTCAAAAGACGGTCCAAAACAAAGCTAAGTGTAGACTATTTGTACTACTTTCCTGAAATTGAGCACAATAGCCTAGGTTAGATTAAACATTTGATATATTTGAATAATTCGTATAACTCGAAAGAAGGAAATATATTTTCGAAATTTGTCAATAATGATTACGACTAGTGCTTGTCGACAATGTTAGGTTATGTTAAATTAACCTGAAATTGAGCACAATAGCCTAGGCTAGATTAAACATTTGATATATTTAAATAATTCGTATAACTCGAAGGAAGGAAATATATTTTCGAAATTTGTCAATAATAATGACGACAAGTGCTTGTCGATAATGCTAGGTTAGATTTGAATAATTCGTATAAAGAAAGAAATATATTTTCGAAATTTGTCAATAATTGACTGATCGTCAATAGTGCTAGGTTATGTTAGATTAGATTAAGAATTTTAGATTTTTATGGAATAAAAAACATTTTTTCTTTTTTTTTAAACAATACGCTGCAAAAGAAAAACAACAAACGATAATTAACGATAAATTCCAGCTGATTGTCCTGATCCGAACTGCAGTGGCCACGGCGCATGCGTTGCCGGTAAATGCTATTGCAAAGCAGGCTGGCAGGGTGAAAGGTGCAACCAGGTCGATCAGCAGGTGTACCAATGCCTGCCACGTTGCTCTGACCACGGCACGTACGATCTCGAATCCGGAAGCTGCGTCTGCGAGGGACACTGGACCGGTGTGGATTGTTCACAACCAAGTTGCGGCCTCGATTGCGGGCCACACGGAACCTGCGAACAGGGTCTTTGCAAGTTAGTACGCGTTCTGCATTGAATTCGCATGCGGCTGTTATCGTCCTTCGCGAATTTAAATTTAATCATCCGGACGCGTACGTATTCAGTAGGAAAAGTGATGCGTGTAATCCTTCCTCTTAACCTCGTTTCTCAATCTGCTCAATATCACAGAGAGAGATATCTTTCTCGAATTGAAAATAAGTGTACTTTAAATTATATAAAATTTAATCGAGATAACATTTTCTAACTTTAGCAAAAAAAAAAAAGAAATTGAAAAATATCGAGGGATCTCAACTGGGTAGTTATAATTATTATAAATAAAATAATATTAAATTATGTGTCACGATTCGACTATTAAGTTGAAATTAAGAGTTGAGAGGATAAGGGACGTCGTGTAAAAAGGAATAAAGTAAAAAGGGAGGGAAATTCGAAAGTGGCGGAATCCTAAGCAAGGGGGAAGGGTGGCGCTTAGAGTGCAGGGGCTAAAAATGAGTAAATTGCCGGCGAGATCGGAGGCACGAAAAGTCGGAGGCTAAGGAGGTGAAAAATTGCGAGAAAAAGGCTCTGTCTTAGGGGTGGCCGCCAACTTATCACTACTCCGGAGGACCGTCCTCCCTTCCCACCTTCCCTTCCCTTTGTCAGAATCAAGGACGCGAAAGAGGATCTCTTTTCTCATATTCTAAAGCTGGCGCCTCTCTCGCCCCCTCCCCTCCCCTTGGAAAGAGCGTCTGCAAGCGCAAAAAGTTCCCAACCGCGGATGACGAGTTCGTAACTTGGCGGAACCCGTGTCCTTTCCCTTCCCTCCTCAAGGATTCCACGCGGAGGGAATCAATTTTGCATTTGGGAGATAAAGCTGAGTGCATCCCTCCCAATAGGGATTGTCCACGACACTTTCGGAATATTATCTTGAATCGCAATCGTGTTGCAATCTCTTGAAACCGGATTCTGATTTCTTCTGAGCGAGTGGAAAGAAGACGAATATAATGTTACGAAAGGATCTGGAAAAGGAATCTGGATGTTGAAGTGGTGGATCTTTAAACTTAAGATCGCTAGATTAAAGTTTATGATGTTTAAAATTAATTGAAGTTTAACGACGCGGATTTATTTTCGATATGGTTGAACGTTTGATTAAAATTTCATCGTAATTATTGTACAACGGGAGAATTGGAATTGAATTTTCAAGGGTTGATGAAAATATGGGTTTTATAGGTGCAACGATGATTGGACTGGCACGAAATGCGATCAGAAACCGTGCGATCCACGATGCGCGGAACATGGCCAGTGCAAGAATGGAACTTGCGTATGCAGTCAAGGATGGAACGGACGACATTGCACGCTGCGTAAGTATTATAATTATACCCATAATGAAGCATTTAAATTTATAATTATAGATACTTGATCCTATAAATTATGGAGTCTTTTTAAAATTGAAGCTTTAAGTAATCATTATTTTATTAATTTTGTTGCACGATATTTATCCGAGACTAAAATAAGTAGAAGGACTCAACGCTTTATCAGGCAAAGAAGTATGAGACTATATAATCAGCCAAAAATTAATTAGTGTAAAATTTAAACAGTATTTAAATTTATCTATTCTACAGATCTATTTTTATTTACGTGTTTTTGTGTCTTACATTATACTAAAAAAAAAAAAAAAAAAAAATAACTATTCAAAAAGATAGAAAGATATATATAATGTATAATCCAATATTAAAATATCAAAACTAAAATTTCAACTTTCAAATCTAGGTTTAAGTTTGAGCTCAATTGAGCTGTATTTATTACAAATCGATGATGGCATTTTAATCGAGAATCGTTTCTATAGAAATGTAATTTTTTCCGAATCGATAGATATATATGTATACATTCTATCACGAAATCATGTATCGTTGTATCGTTTATTTCTCGAATAGGTAGTATCGGTTTTCAATTAACTTCGATCGTTGCCCCGATATCTTCAATTAAAACATTCTCTTGACAGCTGGATGCGAGAACGGATGCAGCCGGCACGGACTATGCACTCTGCAAGATGGCGAATACAGTTGCGAGTGTTCAACCGGTTGGGCAGGCAGGGATTGTAGCATACGACTGGAAATGGAATGTAATGACTTTATTGACAATGATCAGGGTAAGTAAAATATATTAAAAATCAAAAGAAACGAAAGGAATATATATTATTACATCGAGTAATTTCTCTGTATCTGTAACGCTATAATTAATATTTTTTCTACAAAATTTAAACAAATCGAAAAAGTCCATTTTCAAATTTTCAAAAAATTTCAGCAAAGTTAAATTAAATTTTTTTCTCTTCAATTCCAAAGAAGGTTTTATAGATTTGTTTTATAGAATTTATTGAATTTATCAAAAATTAATGTCACAACGAAATTTATAATTTTTAATTGCGTTTTATTCGGTGAACAATTTGATCCAAAAACAACTGTTTCTCAGATGGCATGATGGACTGTTCTGACAGCGAGTGTTGCTCGCACGCAGCTTGCGCAGAGCATATCATGTGCCTTACTAGTAATAATCCTGTGGACGTCCTTCTGCGTAAACAACCGCCCAGCGTGACCGCGTCCTTTTACCAGCGCGTGAAATTCCTCGTTGAGGAGAATAGCGTACAAAGTTACGCTCATATGAACGAGTACACCGAAAGGTAAGATCGATCAATTCTTCTCATACGATTTTCACATTCAGTCAAATCATTATAATATTTATAGATGAACGCTTAGTTGTATATATACTTTATTTTTACGACGTCTAACAGGATAATTGCGTTTAGGCGTGCGAGCGAGCGAGTCGTTGCTCCGTCGGTCAATTGAAATTTTTCTTCATTCTTTTCAAGAAAAATTTCTACTTTATCAACCGATTGAATGGAAAGATTATTAATTATATTGGTTATGAAAGGGAAGATTTGAACGTATCAGATTCTGGAAATTAAGAAATTTTATTGGAGGAAAGGAATCTTTAAGGTTTCATTTCGATAAAAAAATTATATTTAATTAGAGTTATTTAAAATTTTTTGATGGTTCTGCTCTTATGGGAAAGATTTATCTTTGTAATTATTGGAAGAATTAATTTCTTTAGCATTGAGATCTTAAAAAAAAGAATTACTATTTTTATACAATCTTTAAATTAAAATATCTATTGAATTGCATGCGCTAATTAAAACTTTATAATTTTCAAGATTTATAAAGTTTAAACAAAATTCGAAAAATGTTAATTTTCAATTAACAACGACTCGGCTCGTTCGATGATCATCGATACACGTTATTATTGAACTAACGAAAAGATAAAAGATAGAAGGAAAAAGGAAAAACATATAGAAAGAGAAACATATAGCATAGCTGCGTGACATAGTTTCTGGCCTTTCACAATTTTCGAATGCGTTTTACATATTACGCGGCTGTTACTTTCCTCGTTTTTATCATCCACGAGAACTGCGCAGATCATTGATTTCATTCAAAAAGGGACATTTTTTTTGTTTGTTTGTCCGTATGGCACGTACGTGATGTGTTTCACATAAAATAGCTCGAGGAATATATGTATACACACATGTGCAGTGTGTGTTACATAGACTGTAGAAAAACAAAATGTGAGAGAAGCACATCGCATCATTCGAGAAACGTGTTTGAACACACACGGACGATGATTCCGCTCAAGAGTTTTGTTTACATGGTCCATTTTTTCGAAGCTCGACGATGGGGATATCGTTGAAAAATTCTTCGTAACACAATTTTTACAGATTTCTGTATCGATCTATTTATTAATAATCGAATTGTTACACAATTAAAAAATATTTTAATTATTAAATTTGTTTACACATTACATTTCCAATTTGAAATATTTGTTATTAATCGTTGTTCTATTTTCTTTTTTTTTTTCTCGAAACAAATATTACATCGTAGAAAATATTATAATATACATGGTTAAAGATTAGAGTGAGAAAAAAATATGTAATTTAAAAGAATTCTTTTCTTAAATTTTGATTTTTTTTTTCACTCGAATAACGTTTTCCCCATCGTGAGCGATTTTTCAGTGACGAAGAAAGTGTTGAAAAATAAAAAAAAAAAAAAAAAAGAAAAGAAAGAAAGAAAAAGAAAAGATTCAATTCGATTCACTTGTATCGCCATGCCAACAATCGGGTGTATCCGTGACAGCTGAATTATCAAGAGAGCCCCCGGTGGGTGACAACCCTGCCAACCCTCTGACCATCCTACTCCTCGTGTTTCACCCCCTCCCTCCCCCGAATACCGAATGCGTCAGTGATCATCTCGGAAACATTGTCGATCAAAGGTGCTTTCCTCGCGTGCAACATCCGATATTAATTAACTTGCAATTCACTTCCGTGTCACGCGATGAATCTTGTCTCGTGACCTGAATTCGCGAAAAGTTTCGTCGAATAATCGCACTTCCGTTTTGAAGAGTCGAGATCGATGACATCTTTTCTTGGAATATTAAAATATTTTTAATAAAGTATTGAATGAAATATTAAATAGAGATATATTTTTCAAAAGAAAAATGTAAAAAATTTGGAAAGTCAGTTGTTTATAAGAAAACGAAAGTATCGTTAATAAATTCATTAAATAGCCCAAATTATGCGAAAGAATCAATTGATGAATCATGTTATAATCATAAAATTTTTAATAAAAATTAACATAATAATTGATTAATATTATTCCAATTTATTTACTTTTATATTATTATTTTTAAAGGATGTTATCCGAAAGAATGCTTTTTCCTCGCATAACATAACCTCTAAAGTAGAAAAATCATATATTTGATCATGAGCAGTATATTCGTTCAATTTTATCTTAGGAATTACGTTGAGAATTAAGCAAAGACAATACGTTGGTAACTGTCGTTAAATGAATAAAAGCATAGAACCGAGGAAGTCTAGTCTGGCGCGTTCACGGTCAGCATCCTTTGTTCAACACTGATGAAGATTTGCTCGGGACGCGTGCTGGCCGACGCATTGGCGCGGCAGCGAGCGCATTTCGGGGGATTCGTGTATTTTGTCTAGTGTTTATCCTCTGTGTGTACCCTTGCCACCACCAAATCACCATTCACCCTACAGCCGAAGATCGAAAGAGGCTCCGTTTCACGTACAGACTATTGTGAAGTACAGACCA